TAATATCATCAAAATACCATATAAAGGAGGGTGTCGATATATAGAGGCTATACGAAGACGTGGACCTGAATAAGTAATTTCTTGCTTTAGGCTGTAGTACTCATTAGGAGCTTTAAATACCAAATTTGGTACATTTTCGGTTAAGAATGTCGCTAAAATCATAAAAATACCGAATATCGAGAGGCATTGTTATATGGGCGCTATACGAAGACGTGGACCTGCACAGACAATTTTCTGGCATAGGCTGTAGTATCCATTACGAACTTCAAATACAAAATTTGAAATAGTTCCGGTAAATAATGTCTCTAAAATCATCAAAATACCGAATATCGGGAGGTACCGTTATATGGGGGCTATACGAAGACGTGGACCTACATAGCTCATTTTCTGTCTTAGGATGGAGTATCGATTACGAACTTCAAATACCAAATTTGAAACAATTCCGGTAAATAATGTCGCTAAAATCATCAAAATACCGAATATCGTGAGGTACCGTTATATGGGGGCTATACGAAGACGTGGGCCTGCACAGACAATTCTCTGTCATAGGCTGTAATTCAAATACCAAATTTGAAACAATTCCGGTAAATAATGTCGCTAAAATCATCAAAATACCGTATATCGTGAGGTACCGTTATATGGGGGCTATACGAAGACTTGGACCTGCACACAGAATTTTCTGTCTTAAGTTGTAGTATTTATTAACAAATTTAAAAAATAAAATTTAATACCAAACATTTGAAACCTTAAATCTCAAAATACCGTAAATAGGGAGATAGCATTATAAGGGGTCTATACCAGATCGTGGACCAATATGACCCATTTTCAAAAGTCCTGCAGACATAATACATATACATTTGTGTAAAATGTTATCATCCTACTTTATTTCGCTCGGAAGCTAGAATAATTTCCGCAGACGTACGGACATCGCTAAATCGACATAGAATTTTATGCTAATCAAGAATGGATATACTTTGTGGGGTCTAAAATGTATATTTCGAGGTGTTACAAACGGAATGACATACTATGGTGGAGAGTAGAAAAACTACCTTTAAACGATCTACCCTTAAATAAATTTTTCATTTGGTATTGGAAGTACAAATAATAATGTATGTGTGAATTCTTTGTCGGAATCTTTGAATGCTGCCATATTTGAGTTGTCTAGCAAAAAAATGATTAGTTTTAAATTTAGAAATTAACAAAATCCTAATCAATGTTTTACCGACTCAAGTCACAAGTTTGTATGGATATATGTATATACATATATGTTAATACTGCTAAAACATGCCATAAATATTTGCCATATTTTGGTAATTAGTACCAGTTAATATTGGTTTAGATGTCAGCATTTACCAGTTATCTTTTATTTGCGTAAAAACAATTTATTCTATTCATTTTAAAGACCGAAATAAATTACGAATTTATAAAAAAGAAGTATGACGTCATCAAAATAAGCCAAAATTCAACACTTTATTATTTATGAATACAAGGGTGCACTCATATATTTTTGTTGACAAAAACTTATAAATTTATTTAATCACATGCTGCCAACAAATCGCGATGGTAAGTCTGATAACCTTCAAAGATTGACAAAAAATATGACAGTTTTGAAATTAATTTTAAGTACCACTTATATACAATACGTAGGTAATGCTTCACTGGTATTTATGTATATAACTGTACCTCCCGATATTCGGTGTGATTTGAGGCTCATTTTCTAACGAAAAAGTTTAAAACTCGATACCTAGCATTTGTAAAGGGTTCTACTGCCTGTGACTATATAGGCCAAAGTTTTCATATAACCCCCCTATTAACCGTCGATATTTTGACGATTAAGACACATTTTCTGACGGCATTTTTTAAATAAGGTACTTAAATGTTCTCTAATGCTTTTTATGTTCTCTAATTTCTGTGGCGGAACTTTTTCCAATATAAAACCATTTTGTCATTTAGCCCCCATTTATAAACTATTTAAAAAACTATTTTAACCCTATTTTTTGACGGAATCGTTTAAAATTCGGTATGTATACTTTGTAGTGGGTTTTACAACCTGTGATAGAAGATTGCTTTAATAGGTCCAAAATTTCTTATAACCCCCGTATAGAGGTACCTCAAAATAAATAGTATTTTGGTATTTTTAACCTTATTTTTCAGCAGAATTGTTTCAAATTTCGTATTTGAAACTTCAAATAGATTACAACATCTGTATCCTTTGGATACAGCCGCCATCGCCTTTGTGGTATTTTTAAGAATTTATAAGGACGATTTCACTGGCAAAAATGGTACCGTCTCGAATATTAAAACTTTATAATATTATTTTTAAAGATGTTCTTTACCTCGTGGTGGAAGGTATTTAAGGTTAGGCCACCATAAAATTATCAAGTTTTAATACTTACCTTCTTTTATGCCATTATTTTCATTTTCATTATTAATTACTTATTTAAAAAAATTTTTTTGCCATAGAAGTTATTTTTAAATAACTTCTGGGGAGAATATCCCAGACAAAAAACGAGGGAACTGATGAGGATTGGTGGCTCTTTCCGAAACCTAGGTATTCCCTGTCTTACCCCCTGGTAAACATAACCATCGTTCTCCACTAATAAAAAAGTTGTTTTTATAAAAACAACAATAAAGGGATTGAGTCTGATCATTTTACAACAACAAAATACTATGGTATCCCAAACAAACAAGCCAACACTGTCCTAATTATTTAACACGAAACCACCCATGGCGCTGCAACTTAAAATTATTTTCTCGTACATTAGCATTTAGTTCAGTACCTAATATACAGGGTGAGATGAAAAAACTGCAACCAACTTCAGACAGCTTTCATTTCTAAGCCACCCGTCTGACAGCTGTTAAAATTATTCCAGTAAAAGCTCATTATATTGCTTACAATCTTACAGAAGCAGTTTGGTGAGCATTTTCCAGAAAAAAAATTATTCGTGATGGAATTCAAGCGTGATAGTGTGATTTCTTTTTATTTGGCTGGAAAACCACAAGCTGGAAAACCACAAGCACTCCAGCATTTAAATGCGAATAAATCTTTTGTGTCTCGTACCATCGCGGCTCGATCAAACCCGCGCAGTGGCCGAAAAATGGCTCGTGAGCTGAACACATCGCAATATTCCATTCGGCAAATATTGAAAAATAAGCTCGGGGTAAAGCCATTGAAATTCCAAAAAGTGCAAGAACTTACACCGCAACAGAAAGAAAATGGACTCAAAAGAGCTAAAGAGTTGCTTCGCTTGGCCGAAAGTGGTGAACTGCCGAATTAGGTTTTCTCCGCTCCGATGAGAAAACATTCGTTGTCCAACAGTTTGTAAACAAACAAAATGATCGTGTTTACTTGCCAAAGAGGTCAGCTGAAAATGTCCACCTTCGGTTGTTCACCAGAACTCAAGCGCCGGCCATGGTGATGGTGTGGGCCGCAAATTTTGGCCGCAGGACTTGGACATTCCAACAGGACTCAGCACCAGTGCATTCAGCACGTGCCAACCAAGAATGGTTACAAAATGAGGATCCTCGCTTCATTTTCGGCGCACAATGGGCACCATCATCTCCGGATACCAATCCGTTGGACTATTGTGTCTGGAGTATTTTGGAAAGCAAGGTTAGCACTAACAAATCCCAAAGTGTTGATCACCTCAAGCAAGCGCTTCGCCGGCAATTTACCAAAATACCGCAGAGCAACATTCGGGCAGCGTGTGTCAATGGCCGTTTGAAGGCCATAATTCGGGCCAAAGGTGACCAATTGGAACAAAACTTTTTCTAAAATTTGATGCCATTTCCGACAATTTTTGCTTTCATTCAATAAAATTAAAAAAAAAAAAAAAATGCAAAAATATGGCGTTTGACTTTGTTGCAGTTTTTTGCTTATCTCTCCTTGTACATCCGTGTTTTTGATAATTTTAGCAGTATTTTCATTTTTTTTTTGAAATTTTGTAATTTTTTTCCGTCCGAACTTACTGTATTTTTACTTGTTATACCCTCCACCTCAAAAAGGTGGGTTTATTAACTTTGTCATTGCGTTTGTAATATCCCTAAAGATTTTTCGTAGACCCCAAAAAATATATATATTCACAATCAGCATAAAATTCTAAGCCGATTTAACGATAATGGTTTGTTTGTCCGTCCGTCTGTCTGTCTCTCTGTTAAAATCACGATACGGGCCACGTGCTTTAACGTAGAGCTTCAAAATTTGGCAGAACAATTTGTATTGTGTCTAGGATGGTTGGCATTGAAAATGAGATATATCTGTCCACGTTTTGGGTTAGCCGCCATATTATGGTACCTCCCGATATTCGGTATTTGGATGATTTTCGCCACATTTTTTTTTTCAGGGATTTATCTGTAAATTTGTATTTGTAGTTCATAATGGGCTCTAGCTCCGATGGCGAAACATTGTATGCATACGTCCACGTTTTTGTAAGGCCCCCATATAACGGTACCTACCGATATTCGGAATTTTGATGATTTTTGCATCTTTTTTCCACGGATTTGTTTAAAAATTGGTATTTGTAGATCGTAATGGGTTCTAGCTCCGGTGGCGAAATACTGTATGTATTGAAACATTTTTTATCATACCTTCCCATACATGTGAGACCACTGTGCATTCGCTTATATTTTCGCATCGCTATAAAAATGATTAACACCTTAGGCCAAAAAGAGAAAAAAAATGAAAGGGAGAGATATTTCCTGAGCCCAAATGCTACGTCAAAATGCAAACAATGTGTTTTTGTTATTAACAAATCATCCACATTGACAGGTTTATCATGACGTTTTATTAAAACTTAAAGTGAAATATCATGTCTCATCATTCGGTTGAGGGTGCGGAGGGTACATGGGTACTTGCCAGCCAGCCAAAAATATATAAGAGAAGAGAGCATTTCATTTGCAAATTGATATACAGCTGATAACGAACAAACAAATGGGTGGATGGACGGATGAACGAGACAGGGCAGACACCTGTTTTTTTTCAAATGAAATAGTTGGAATGATATTCAGTTTTGTTATTTACAAAAAATTAAACTTGAAAGATTTGCTCACTACGAAGTATTGGGGATTTATTGCGGAACTTAAATTCGCATTTTGAGCGCAACGTGAATTTCTGCTGTTAGTTTTTGCCGATTCGATTGACACTCTTTGAAGTATTTTCGTTTTCGTTTTTTCTGTTGTTGTTATTTATTGATAAGATATCAGAACAATTGTGAGTGTCTGAAAGGTTTCTCTGAAAATTGAATAGTGAGGTTTTGTAGGGGGCTGTTGAAACCAGGAATTGCCCAATAAAATTCATAACGTTTTCGTTAATTGCCCGCTAAAGTTTGACGAGGCGCGTCTTGGTAACGGTTTGACAACGGACAAATGTTGAAATTCGAGTGATTGAAATCGTAACGTTATTTTCAATACCAATTATTTTTATTACGCACACACACACACATACATACACACAAAAAATATTATTTACCAAAATGAATACAATTGAGGAATCTTCAGAAATTTCGGAATTTCAAGATGAAAAAATTGATGGCAATACCATTTCGAAAATAAAAGTCAGTACTAAATCTACCAGCAGTACTTCCAGCTCCAGTACTTCCAACGTTGAGGCCACACCAGTTAATGGACAAAGTGCCGCCTCATCGCCGCCACCCCCACCACAAGCAGCAGCAGCAGCAACAGCTTCCACAAATGGTTTTAGCTCTGCCATACCTGAGGACCATTTGGAAGATTTAAAAATCATTGGTCATCTCAAAAATATTGAAAAACTCAATGAGAAACGTCGGGTCTTCTTGAGCAACACCATTACCTCGGAGTATTCAAGTGATGAGAAAACTGAATCCAGCACCAAGAAGGTCAACAAAGAATCCACAACAAAGGGTACAGAAACCGGCAATGATACTGCCAACAGCAGCAACCACAACAACAACAATGCCAAGCGAGTTCTGGTGCGAGAACAACACATTGACAGTTTATCCGATATTGAACAACATAGTGTCAAAACAACAGGACCCGTGCAAAACGGTGTCTCACCAAAATATGCCACATTGCCTATGAAGACACCGAGAACTCCGAATACACCACCGCCAAAACCTCCTATGCTCAGTCGTACACGTAGCATTGGTGTTGGTGACAGTCATTCAATGAGTTCTCCCATAGCTACAATACCAGAATTTCCCATACCCCAAACTGCCTATGACAATGGTGCAGCCACAGTCACACCCACACCCACACCTACACCACAGGATGCCACTCCAACAACGCCCACATATTCCATTACCACCACCCAACGTATGCAACCGACCGAAAGCCAAATTGTAACGGCAACCACAATTGCCGAACCCCTAAAAGTGACCTGCATACAATTGGACCCGGAAGAGAATGCCACCGTGGTGTTGCGTTCCAATGCCCCGGTTGATGTTAACAACGGCATTGCTGCCGGTTTTGCTCAAGAGGCCTCCAACAAAGACATTCCCGCTAAACACTATGAACGTCTGATCGAAGAACTCAAATGTCCCGGATGTGCGCTGCCCATGAAATCGCCCATTTATCTGTGCAAAACCGGTCACAGCATTTGTGAGCAGTGCACCCGAATTCTGCTAATGTGCCCACTGTGCAAGGTAAGTAGTCAAGTGCCTATAGATTATGTTTATTGTCGTTGGATTTTTCGTTCGCTTTCCACATGTATGCCTTAGCGCTCATTTATCAATTTCATATCGATTCGATGAAGGTTATCATCGTCCAAAAAAAAAAAATCGAAAACGAAAACGAGACCTTTACACAATTCGATAAACCTCTAAAGTGGCGCAGACACGTAATAATAGTAAATTTATTGATAATTGTATATACAGGGTACATAAAGAGAGAGTTATGTCGAAATATTAGAAAAGAATAGCCGGTAGTACTGACACGAATTGGCTATGTAGGTCCACGATTTCATGTAGCCCCCATATAACAGTACCTCCCGATATTCGGTATTTTGATGATTTTAGCGACTTTATTCACCGGAATTGTTTCAAATTTGGCATTTGAAGTTCGAATTGGATACTACAGCCTAAGGCAGAAAATTATCTATGCTGGTCCACGTCTTCGTATAGCCCCCTTACAACGATACCTCCCAATATTCGGTATTTGGATGATTTTGGCTACATTATTCACCGGAATTGTTTCAAATTTGGTATTTAGAGTTCGTAATGGGAACTACAGGCTGTGACAGAAAATTGTCTATACTGGTCCACGTCTTCGTACAGGCCCGTATATCAGTACCTCCCTATATTCGGTATTTTGACGATTTTAGGTACAATACTCAGCGAAATTGTTTGAGATGTCGTATTTGAAGTTAGTAATGGAAGCTACAGCCTGTGACAGAAAAATTTCTATGCAAGTTCAGGTCTTCGTATAGCTCCGATATAACGGTACCTCCCAATATTCGGTATTATGATGATTTTGGCGACATTATTCACCGTTTGTTTTAAGTTTCGAATTTGAATATGGTGATGGCTTATGACAAACAATGCCTATGTAGGTCCACGTCGTACAGACCCTAATATAACGGCGAATGTTATCTTTTGGCGAATGTTATCTTTATCGAAAATTTCCAAATTCGTTCCAAATGGTTGAGGGTATTCAAAGTTCTGCCCGGCCTAACTTACTGCTTTTTTAATTGTATTTACATCAATTTGAGAATATGATGTTAATGGCCTCCGCCACAGTTAATTGTCATTTGAACCCTTTTTAAGGCATTTTTCCTCACTTTGGCTAAAGCTTCCGGCGATTGGTCCTCATATTCTTGACGGATATTGTCTTTAAAAGTTGAAAGCGTCTAAGGCTTATTGGCATAAAACCGCGACTTCAAAAATCCCCACAAAAAGAAGTCTTGAGCGGTAAAATCAGTGCAAATCGCCAAAACGAGAGATTAGGTGCTCGGGAAATGCATCCTTCAGCATATCGACTGTGGCAAGTGCATTGTGTGTGCCGTTGCACCATCTTGTGGAACCATATGTTTTCCAATCCCAACTCATTTAGTTGAGGCAAAAAGAAGTAGTTGGTCATTGCTTTATAGCGCTCACCATTGACACTAACAGTTTGGCCAGCGACGTCTTCAATGAAAAAAGATCCGATGTCTCCTCTAGCGAAAACAGCACACCATACAGTGACTTTGAGCTTGTTTAATGGCTCTTCGTGGGTTACACGCGGATTTCCGTGCCCCAGATGCGTAAATTTTCCGTATTTACGTACCCGCTAAGATGGAAATGGGCCTCATCCCTCATGGTTATTTCTGATGAAAAAAATTAAGGATGGCTTGAGCGTATGTTAGACGCGATTGACGGTCAGCACCTAACAACTGATGCACCATCTGAACTTTGTACGAAAACATCTTAAAACATCTTGTACCAAAATTGTATATATAGGGTCTTCGGCAATATTACAGAGGAAACTTCAATTTGTATAAGTTTGATTGGCCCAAAAATTATGTAACACCTCGAAATATTGGTCTCCGGCATGGGAAACTAAATATGGATCTTCCTATCTCGCCGAGCTGAGTCGATCTAGCTATGTATGTCCGCCCTTCCGTCTGTCCATGTTAATTTGTAAGCACGCTATATGTGGCAATTATGGCCCGATCCTCAGGAAATTGAAAATGTAGATGGCTTTAGAGTCAGAATATAAGCCTATTATTTTTGGAGATTATCGTAAAATATTTAGGGTTTGAAATGGAGCAAATACAGATTTTGCTGTTGCTCTACAGGCTGCAATTATAGACCAATCGACGCGGAATTTTGCATGGAGATAGAGTTTAAGACTGGGCAGAATCAAAAGGACAATATTTAGCGGAAAAAGTAAACCATAACTTTTATGCAAAAAATACGAAAATTTACACTAAACCGCGAATATGTTCTTTAACCCGACCAAATCACCAATACAAACAAGGTCACTTCTGATCATTACAGCAATAGCAAAGATATCGGATATATTGCAAAATAGGTACAATATTTATGTAAAATAAATATATATTACTTATTCCGCTTATAAGTAAAGAACCGCTAGACCGATTTTCGCAATTCTCTTCAATTCAGAATGGTCTCTTGCCAGAAAAGTAAAAAAATCTAAAAAAATATGCCAATAAAAAAGTGAATATTTTTTGTTACTTTTTTTTTTAAATTTTTGTACATTTTTTATCGCATGCGATTTTTTCAATTTGACTTACAATTTTGAATTGTACATTTTCTAACGTACCGCAACACTATGTGTCGAGGGTATCGTATACAGGTCACAATTATTGTCCGATCCTCACAAAATATTGCATGGGAGTAAGGTTAGGGTCAGAATTAAAGCCTATTGTTATGGAGATATACATTTGTACAGGGGTTCAAATGGATTGATTTTGTAGTCGCTCTGCAGGTCACAATTGAAAACCAATCGACATGGAATTTTGCATTAGGAGAGTGTTAAGGACACCGAAGACGTCTAGTATTTCCTATGACCCATGGCAGACAGGTAGATGCATCAACACTTGAGAACATAGGTATGGCAAAGAATTTTAAAAGTTTTCTTAAATATAAGTAGATTTTTATACGTTTTCTTATACGACGTCATTCGGAGGTTATTATAATTCGCGTTTTTCAACAATTTTTACAAAATTTAAATAATTTTTCATTTAACATTTTTAATTCAAAAATTGGTTTGACAGTTCATTGTCCCAGCAGCGGTGTCGATGCATCTACCTATATTCTTCTACCATGGTATGACCATTGGATTATATTTAGCTGTAAAATGGACCACAACTCCCGTGTGAAATTGTTTTGATTACCTAACAAGACGACGGAGGGCGTAAATATTGGGAAAATGGGCCAAAAAGATCCAGGTTTTGATATAGCCCCCATATAACTGTACAGATTTAAGGTATTTTGGTTTAACTTTTAAACCGAATTTGCTGTAAACTAACAGTATGTGTTCCCAGCATGTAGGAAACATACTTACGGAGAACTGTTCATATATGTTTAAAGTTTGGTATAGACCCTACATAATTATACTTCCATATATTCGGTATTTTTATGATTTTAGCGATATTATCCACCGGAGTTGTTTCAAATTTCGTATTGTAAATTCGTAATGGGTGCTAGAGTCTGTGACCAAAAATTTTCTATGAAGATCCTGGTTGTCGTATAGGATCCACATAACTGAACATCGGTATATTTGGTATTTTGATTCATCGGAATTATTTCAAATTTTGTATTTTAAGTTTCTAATAGGTACTTCAGCCGGCGCCTTGCCATAATCCCAAAGGGCATAATCCACATTACAATTATGGCGATTATAACAGGTTTTCCGGTCCTAACCCCCTTATTGGAATGGGGATTATATCTAAAATAATCGATCATAACCCCCAGAAAGTAGCGGACAAAACGATTACGGATATAAACCCAATTAGGGTCAGGTGCTTTTTACCTGATTACTGCAAAGTATTTTTTTCTTGGGAGAAATACCTGGTTATCCGGTTGTTCGACCCGAAAGTTCTGATAAAAAATCCGGTTTTATCTGGTTCTACAAAATGAGTATCATTTGAAAGCATATGGAAATACGTATCTCACGAGTGGTCATTTGATGGTGTTGCTTGAACCGGTTCCGGGACTTTTTGAAATAGCATTTAAAAGTCGGAACTGGACCCATTAGGGGGGTATTAAGATCTATAAATTACATTATAGCCTTCACTATAGCCTTTCCAAAATGGTGCCAAATGTGATGATATCTGTTTTAGTTCCGAAGGCCCACTCCACTAATATGTATGTAGCTTTTATAGATTTTTTAAGTAGCTGGCCTTCAGCCGGGGCTTCAGATTTTCTAATGTGGATATGTCTAACTCCAGCTACGCTATTCATAATTTTTCTATACTTTATTACATTATTAAGAAGCCGGCCTTCGGCCTGGGCTTGAGATTTTTTCCTCTGGGATATGTCCAACACCGGCTACGTGATTCATAGTGTTTCTAAAATCTATAATTTTGGAAGTAGCTGGCCGGGCTTGGTATGTCCAACAGCAGCTACGCGACCCATAGTTTTTGAAAAACTTTACAAATTTCGTAAATTCAATTTTAGTGTTTTATTTTTCTTTTTTCGAACATAATCTCCACAGCAAACGGTTTTACTCCCCATATGGATTATGTCCGTTTTGGGAAGCAGACATAATACCCACTTTAAATAAAATCGAACATAATCCTCAATAATTGTAATTGACATTATGTACGGGCACAACTACAGCCCATGACAGGTAATTGCATATACATGTCCGGGTCTTCGTATGAGCCCCAATATAACGGTAACTTCCTATATTCGTTATGTTTATGATTTTAACAGTATTTTTCAACGCACTTTTTTTAAAAACTTCAAATTCATTTCCAATCGTGAAGGGTATTCAATATTCCGCGAACCTGCTTTTTTACTTGTCCAATAAATACATTTTTCAAGAATTGTAATGAAATAACAAAAAAAAAATACATTCTCAACCATCACACATTTTCGATCATGCATTCCTTGCTTGCGTACCATCAAAAGTACCCACCTGTCTATAAATAAATATTTGTATTAATCATTTACTAATATTTATTTAAACATTCTTATCA